GTATATTATTAATATAACGCTAGAAGGTAGCGGGCGCTCTTAAGAGGCCGAAGGGCGTTATAAGCTACTTAAATAAGCTATAGCGTATATAGAACGCCGTCTTTTATTCGTTACCCTCCGAGATCCGTACCTTATAGAACGCCTATTTTATATCTAGCTTCGTAAACTACTTCGCCTTCGAAAGGTTATAGAGCGTATCCGAGATTAGGGGCAAGGGGTAGCGGTCCGGCCTCGTAATTGCGTTTAGAGCCCTATAGTCGTAATAGAACTATATCCCGCCCCTTAGTTTACGTATAAATAGGACCGGCGCTCCTACTTTAGAGCTGCTTACTTAAATAAAACCCTTATCTAGGAGGTCCCTTAGCGTCTTCTTTAGCACTAGTAGTTCTAGGTGTAATATACTATATAGCGGTCCGAATAGTGCGGGCAGTTCCTACCCCTTCTTATCGGTGCGGAGTACGATCTTATAGTCTACCCCCGGCTTATACGGGTTAAGCTTATCCGCTTCCTAGGACTCGAATAGCGGTAGGAGGTCGTAAAAGCGCTCTAGTATCTACTACCGTAGCTGAGAGGGCGACTTCGGCTTCTTCGCCTAGAGGGCCTTATCGATGTCCGCTAGGCTAACTACGTAGACCGCTACGTTAGCCGCTGCCCGGCCTTCCTCCCGCTCTAACCGTCGCATGGTTCCTATAAAGATAGAGGCAAGGACTTCTTATGCCGAGTATAAAGCTCGCACGCCTAGTCCTACGCCTACGGAACCGTCGTCGTAGCGGACCTACCGTTGCGTAGGCCTAAACTATAGCTTCTTCTAGTACGGAACTAAGTATAACTCTATATATAATAACTAGGGTTTCCTAAGGATTAGGGGAAACTCTAGTTAGGGGATTATATAGGCCACGATAAGCTTATAGTAACCGTCGACCTCTATAGCTAGCTATGTAATGCCCCTAATTACCGCACCCTCTATCGCGCCTAAGGCGCCCTTTACTCGCCTTAGGGCGATCTTTTCTACCGGCACTTATATCTCTCGTATAAGCGCCTTGTTAACTACGGCGTAGTACTAGCAGCCCTCGTCTATAAGGGCGGCGACGGGTAAGGAGTTATTAACTATAACCTATATTAAAGTAGGCTCCTCTTCTATACGGGCGGATAATTCCTCCTTCTCCTTTACTAGTGCTAGCAATTAGGGCTCTAGAGCCCGTCTTTACTTCGGAGCTACTCTTTTTCCTCTAGGCCTAAGGGAGCGGAGTCCTCTTCGTCGTCTAAGGCAAGGAGCGGTTCTATCTTCGCTACTCGAACTACTATAGGCCGCTTAGCTAAAAGGAAGGGTCATTTTAATATAAAGTATATAGACGCGCCGTAACGTAGGCAGCGGCCGTTAGCCTTCCTTTTCGATTTCCTCGCTCGTTACCTACTTCGCGCTACTTAGAGGCGGGATAGTCAGGATATTCGAAGACGACTTCCTACCGCGTTTAGCTCGGTCCGTGCGGGTAGCCGATATTAGGGTGTCTCCGTTAGTGTCGATAGTCGGCTATTCCTCTTATAGAGGGGCGGTGATCCCGTTACCGCTATACGGCGTGCGCTTACGAAGCTTCTAGAAACGCGGCGTCTGCTCGTAGCCCTATGCTACCTTTATTAACCGGCTTACGTACTCGCCGTAGTTAGTAGGCATAATTACGGGGATAAGTAGCTCCCGTAGGGCCGGCGTAATTAAGTTCCGTAACTATATAAGCTTCGCGCTGTCTTCCTATACCGTGGTTCCCGCTGCTCGTAAGAGCGTCTCTTCGAAGTCGGGGAGGAATTCGCTAAAGGTCTGCCCGTCCCTCTACTTAAGGGTCCGTAGCCTATCCTACGCCTTCTCCCGCTCCTATACGTTGCCGAACGTATATATAAGGTATTAGAAGAAGTCCTATAGGTCGCGTTTGCTTCTAGGGCCGCCCTTGTCCTAGAATCCGGAGATCCGCCGTATCTAGGGCTCCGGTAGCGTATAGAGGAGCGAATACCACGCTATATTACGATAGCCGTTTAGGCCCTATTTCTTATCTATTATAAACTTCGTCTATAGCCGGCTAAGGAAGAAGTAGAAGGACTTAGGCTTGCCGTCCTAAGTCGGCTAGGGAAGCGGCTTCTATATCGGTGGTGCCGCCGCTGTAACCGGTGTTGCTAAGGTCGTAGGGGTTAACGCTAGTCTTATAGACGGCTCCCTTAGTATAGCGAGAACCTCGTTCTTCTCGCTAGCCGTCGCGCTTCTAATCGCTTCTAGGATAGCTATAATACTTCCTATCCGCCTAGGGGGTAGCGGGGTGCTCCCTTAGGGAAGCGGCACCCTTTTTAGGGAGATATCTATTAGATCTATTAGTTAATAGCTTATACTATTACGGAGTAGGTAGAGGCGTATGCGTAGGTGCCGTCCGTAGGATAATGTTAATAAGCTATATAGAGCTCTTCTATGCGCGGCTGGCCCGCCCCTATACTTATGGGATCCGGCCCTCCGTACGTAACTACACGGCTTAGGCCGCGGCCTAAGCCTATCACCTATAATAGTTAAAGACTCTTATACTACGGACTTATATAGGAGCTTCCCTAGTAAGGGAAGGCGTAGCGCTAACGGATAAGCCTTCCCCTATACCTTTACCTCGGCCTAGTAAGGAGGGATAGACCGGCCTAGGGGCGCGTACGGCGTAGGTATTCTAAGATAAGGTCCTCTAGCGCTTATAGGATAGGATATCGTCTCTAGACTATACCTATAAGAGCGTGCGCCGCGCTATTAAGTCCGGCGCTTAATACCTCGATCTAAAGCTAAAGCTAAAGGTATAAGTAGCCGACTATTATATCGACCTATAAGGGCACCTACGTTAGTAAGGGAGACTATAGGTGCTAGGCGCGCCGTATACTATAGAAGCTAAGGAGAAGGATAGACCGCTAGAGCTAGATAAATAGAACGAGCTTTAAGGGAAGCTAGTCTAGCTCGTCTATAACTTTAGTATTATAGGCTACCTAGGTAGGTAGGGCATAGTAGTAGGCCTTATAAGGGATTTCTACTAGCCCCTCCTATAGTACTACGTTCGCTACTTCCTTTATAACTATAATATCTATAGCCGTACTAAGATTTAAAGGGCATAGCTTAAAAGGCTACTTAAGTAGCTTCTAGTACCCGACTAGTTCTATATATATATATAGATAGACTTTATAACGGACCTCCTACTTATAGAGGGCGGCAACTACTATATATAGGTAATTAAGGACCGACTTAGTAAGTCTATAGTATTAAAGCTAATACTATCTATAGATATAGAGTCTTATATAAAGCGCTTCTTATAGTACTAGGCCTACTTATATAGCTAGCTAGCCTTTATTATAAGCGATAGGGGATCGAATTAAACTAGCCGCTTTTAGTAGTACCTATACTAGCTACTTTAAATTACGTAGCTACTTAGTATAGTATATTACCTATAGACTAATAGAGGGCCTAAGAGGGTTAACTAAGAAGTATAGGCTTACTTATAGGCCGTTATAGCCCGTAACTAAGTAGACTAAGACTATTAGCTCCTTACGGCCTAACTTATATTAAATAGTAAACTATATACCTCTATTAGGATAGCCCTTTTTTTTATAATATATAGCTTTAAACTACCCTTATTAGTTCCCTTTACCGTAGATATAGTAGCGGAGTAGTATAGTAATTTATTACTAGAGGGCCGCGCCTCTACGTTTATATAAAAGCTATAAAAGACTATAGATTATTACTAATCCGCGATAGCCGCCGCGGCGTAAGATTAAGAGCGGCACGCTAATAAGACTAAGGCCCTAGTAGATAGGTTTATAGTAAGAGATAAGGTATAGCTAGACCTCCGTAACTATAGGTCGGTATAGCTAAAGAAGAAGCTTAACTAGCTATATATAAAGTTTATAGTATAGAGGGTTATTAGCCCGTAGGTTATAGAGCTCGATAGTCTCTTAATAGGGGTCTATAATAAGATTAATATAGACCTCTTTTATAGAGCCTCCTTTAACCCGCTGCCTAAATAAGAAGTAGCGGACGCTTAACCGCCTATAATTAAGGTAAAAGGAGAGGACGAGTTCGAGGTTAAAGAGATATAAGCCGCGCGCTAGAAAAAGGTTAGTAAAGGGAAACGCTAAGAGGTCCTCGTTAAGTAGTATAGGTATCTTAACCTTATATAGGAACCTATATATAAGTTTATAGGAACTATAGCCCTCGATAAGTTTAAAGCCTTATTTAAAATAGTAGATAAGAACGACGGACTAGCGGACTATTAATAGTAGCCTAGGCTAAGACTATAAAGTAAGTATAATAAAGGGGGCAGTTATAGTAATATAGGTAATATAAGCGTAATAGTATAAGTAAAGATAAAAATAGTATTTATTATAAAGTAGAGCTCTTAAACTACCTAGGCCTATTCCTTATTATTATTATTATTATTATTATCTTCGTTATCGTTATCCTCGTCGGCCTCCTCTTTCTTATTAGCGGCGGCGGCGGTCTTTAGGGCGCTAAGGCGGCCCTCTAAGCCTATAAGCTAGTTAGCGGCGGCGGCGGCTCTAGGGGTAAAGGGGCGGCGGCTAGCGGCGGCGGTAGGGGCAGCGGCGGTAGTAGAGGCGGGCACGGCTAAGGGGCCCGCCGATAGGGCAATAGAGGTAGTATCCTTAGCGCCGGGTATATTAAAAGCGGAAATAAGGGAGTAGAGGAGTAAGACTTACTTAGGTATAAGGCCCTATCGCGCGAGGGCGCGGAGGTTACGGTAGGCGGCGGCAGCGGCGGTAAGGCGCTTCTTAGTAGCCCCCCGCGCCTACCTATACGAGCCGGCCTTTTAAGCTAACGCCGTAGCGAGTAAGATAGGAGGCGCCGCCTTATAGGCACGGCTAGCTCGCGCGCACTAGTAGCAGCTGCCGCTATAGCGGCGCCCGGCTTAGTCGGAGTAGTCGAGCTCTTACGACGTATAACGTATATAAGGGGCCGAGTAGGCGGCGCCGGCCTATACTTAGCGCTTATACTATAAGAGGTTAGCGGATAACGTCTATTACGCTTACCTAACTATAGACTTACGGGGGTAACGGAGACGGAGGCGGGGGCCGAGGGGCCGGGCGTTATAGGTAGCGGCGGGGACGGCGTCGTTACCCTAAGGGGCGACGTAAGAGCGAATAGCGTAGTAGAGGCGGCGGCGGCGGCGGTAGGAGCGGTAGTAACGGCGCGGGCAAGAGCGGCGGTAGCGGCGGAGTCGTCGTCGGCCGCGGCTAGCGCAGCGTCGACGAATAACTCCGTACGCTCCGAGAAGGAGGAGGTAGGAGAGGGAGAGGCGGATATATCTATCGCGGAAGTTAGCACGATAAAAAGCGGCCTCCCGCTCTATAGGGCGCGGAACTTATTAATTAGAGTTATTATTATTATTAGGGCTATTATTACTACTACCGCTACTACTATAAGTATACGTTAATAGAACGGCCTATATAGCTAGGAATAGACTAACGCCTTAGGTAAAGCGGAACTTACCTATTAATACTACTACTATAGTTAAAGAAGGGAGAGAAGGAAGGGAAGGGGGAAAAGGGGGATACCGCTTTATATACCTCTTAGTAAAGGATATTGCCTAAGGTAAAGGGAACGGGCAACCTAAGGCTTACGTAGGTCCGGACTAGCCGCCGGCTACTTAGAGGCGTATATAATAGGTTACGCCCTTATTTAAATAACTAGCTAGCCGATAAGTATAGAGCTAGGTCCCGGCTACCTAGGCTAACGGGCGCGGGGATAATAAGGCTAGTAGGGCCGGCCCTATTAACGGGAAAGGGTAGGGAAGAGCCCGCTATATAGGCCTAATTATATAGGAGCCGTTAATAGGGTAGCGCTATACCGCGCTTAAGGGAGGGCATTATATAAGAGTCTTTAACTATTATAGGTAATAGGCTTAGGCCGCGGCCTAAGCTATATAGTTACGTATAGAGGGCCGGATCCTATAAGTATAAGGGCGGGCTAGCTACGTATAAAAGAGCTCTATATAGCTTATTAATATTATCCTATAGACGGCACCTATATATATACCTTTACCTACTCTATAATACTAGGAAGATATATAAAATAAAAATTAATAATAATAATAAGCAGCCTATAAATAATATAATAAAGAAGATATAAATATAGCCTTTATACTTATAAAACTTAAATAATAACCTAAAGAGGGATAATAAAGTATCGACGATATAAGCTCTAAAGAATAAGAAATACCTAGAGAAACGGAAGATAAGAACGAACTTATACTACTACCTTTATTACTAAGAGAAAATACTATAATTAGAGAATACGCTTTATACTTTAAAGAATTTAAAGAAATACTTAAAATTAGAACCTAATAAATACCTTAAATTCTTATAGAAAACTAATAAGCTATATTAATTTAATATTAACCGGTACTATATAAAGGAGACTACGCTATAGCTATCGCTATAGTTAATACCTTTATAGCTCTATAATAAGAATAGTAACTATAAGGAGAATTTAAAGACGATCTATAAATACTACTTACTTATAAGTACTATAAGTATATTTTATAGATATTATACGTCTACCTAGATTATATAATATACTTTTAGATAAAAGTATAATACGATGCTTTCTTAGTTAGGTTTAAAGGATAAGTACTTTTAAAACCCTACCTAAGTATAGAACTAGACTACTAGAAAATCGATTAACGCTACCTAAACGACTAAGTTATATTAATAAAACCTAATTATAGTATACTACTTAAATACCGCGATAATTATAGTTTACTAATAAAATACCTTTTAGAGATATATAAAATTTATAAATACGCTAAAATAAAGGAATAGTATAGCGCTACTCGCTTTAAGGTATCTAAACCCTTAATCTTTTAAAGACTTATATAATAAGTTAAATATAATAAAGAAGATTATAATAAATATATATACTAGAACTATAAAGTTTATAAATATAAAAAGGTATAAGTATAGTATAAACGATATAACGGTATACTAAAAGATTATTAGTAATATATATAAAGGCTATAAGCTATATTCGACTAAGGAAGAATCGATATAAAAATACTATACGAAAAATAAAAAGACGCCGAATAAAAACTTAACCTTTAGTACGAAAATAAATAGAATTATAAAGTATAGTACGTAATTAACTATAAAGTAGTATAATATAAACGATATAGCGTTAAGAAATAAGAAATCTTTAATTAGCTATAAGAAATTAGTCTCTTAAGCCCTAATATAATACTACGCGATAAAAATATAAAGAAACGATATTAATAATAAATTAAAGAAGAATACCTAAATAAAATAAATAAGGACTAAGTAAAAAATAAGGTATACTATTTATAAAAGGGCTATAAACTAGTACGATATAATAAGATCTAAGGACCCTATATATAGTAACGGTAAGCTATAGCGACTAAATAGTATTAGATATCTAAATCGCGGGATATTATATATATATACTTTTAGACTATAGCGCGATAGGTAATTACGTTTTACTTAAAGTCGTTAATCGTTACTAACTTATATAAAGATATAAGAAAGATCTATATAAACTTATAAATATTAAAAGAGAGGCCTTTAACTATAATAACGGAATTATTAATATAAAGATTAATTACCTTAATATTAATATCTAGGGCTATAACGAATAAGTTAACTTTAATATTATAAGTATTAAAGAATATAACCTTATATTAAGGCTTCTATAGCTATAGGAGAGCAACCTAATAATTAATTAGAAAACTAGCTAGCTATATTAAAACGAAGATATAAGTTTCTAGGACTAGTAGATTTAAAAGAAAGTAAAATTTTATAATAATTTAGCTACTAAATAAGATAAAAAGGATAACTATTTAAGTAAATTATTATAGGCTTTAGTAATATAAACGAAAATAGTAACCGAACTAGTAGATATAATAAAATCGACTAATAAGATTTACGTACTAACTAATACGGCTATATAACCTAGTATCTAATATAAATAGAATAAAGGATATAATATAAAGATTTAAAGAGTTATTGCTACTTTAAGGAAAGACCTTAAATAAATTAATAAAGAGCTTAAGTTAAGAGAAACTAGCTCTTAAAAGAAAGAATAAAGCTTATAAGATAGAATAAAGAATATCCCTTAAGAATACCGGAAATATAATAAACTCTTTAAGGAAAAACTTAAGATAGGGTTACCTAAATATAGTTAATAGGACTACGAAATTTATCTTAAGGATAGAATAACGCCGACGTTCTATAAAATCTATAATATAAATAAAAAGTAACTATAAACGCTATACGACTACCTTAACGAGAATCTATAAAAGGGATATATATAAACGTTAATATCTAAAGTAAGCTACCTAGTTATATTTATTCTAAAGAAAAACAGTAAGCTATAACTAGTTATTAACTATAGACGCTTAAATAATATTATAATAAAGGACCGAATACTATTACCGCTTATATTAGAACTATAAGATCGACTATATAGTAAAAAATAGTTTATAGCCTTTAATCTTAAAGGCGCCTATAACTTAATATATATAAAAAAGGGATATAAATAGATAATAGCTTTTAAAACGAAATTTAGACTATTTTAATATCTAGTAATACTATTTAGACTTATAAATATACTAGCTACCTTTTAATAGATAATTAATAATATCCTACGCGAATACTTAGATATCTTTATAGTAGTATACTTAGATAATATCCTAATCTTCTTAGATACCTTAGAAGAATATAAGGAATACGTTTATAAGGTACTCTATATACTTTAAAATATAAAGTTACTAGTTAAACTAAAGAAAAGTAAGTTTTATATATAGGAAGTAGACTTCCTTAGATATATAATCTTACTAAGAGAGATATAAATATAATAAAATAAGATTAACTTAGTTAAAGAATAGCTAATACTAAAGAATATTAAGGATATATAAAGCTTCCTAGGATTTATAAATTACTACCGACGATTTATTAAAGATTTCGGAAAGATTATAGTACTACTATATAACTTAATAAAAAAGGAAAAAGAATTTATATAGAAAGATAAAGCTAACGAAGCTTTCGAATATATTAAAACTACGATTATATAAGAACTAGTCTTAACTACCTTTAATCTAAAACGATAAATCGAACTTAAAACTAATATATTAGACTTTACTTTAAGAGTATAAATCGGATAGAAGGACGATAAAGGAAGACTACGACTAATTATATTCTACTTAAAAAAGCTATATAGCGTAGAACTTAATTACCCTATCTACGATAAAGAATTCCTTATAATTATTTAAGCTTTTAAAGAATTTCGATACTACCTTCTTAAAAGTAAGTATAAAGTTAAAGTCTATATAGATTATAAGAATATCTTATACTTTATAATAATATAATAGTTAAACGGATAATAGATCCGATAGGCCGAATATTTATTAGAATTCGACTACGAAATAATCTATAGAAAAGGAATAGAAAACGGTCGAGCTAATACCTTTAGTTAACGAAGTAACTACGATATAAGAGCACTTATAGCGAAAGAATAGCTCCTAGAAATTAACGAAAACGGAAACTACTAGTAATAATAGCTAAATATAATATTTAAAGTATAACTTAACGACTCGATATACTAAAAGATCTTAAAATAAATAAAAGAATATAAAGTATTAAAGGGATATAATATAAAATATTTAGAAGTTCTAATATATAAAAATAAAATCTAGATACTACTAGCGTTATAAGATAAAGTTATATAAGATATATATAAATATCTAATATATAGATACTAAGGAATCTAAAGAATAATAAAATAGATTAAACGGTAATATAACTTCCTATAGCTTAAGGAAGTAGTACGATAAGTTATTAAAAAATATAAACTTTACGTATAAAGTAAAGCTAAACGATATAAGCTATATAAAGAATTATAACCGCTACTAATACTAGAGAAGCTATAGGATTCGATAGCTTTTAATTATATTATAAAGCTACTACTATTAAAAGAACCTATAACTAACGTTAAGTATAATAGTATATTTATTATTACCGACCGATTAATAAAATATAGATACTTCTTACTATATAAAGAAGTAAGTAATATAGAAGAGCTAGTATATATATTCCTATAAATAATTATTAGTAATTATAAACTACTAAACGAGATTATCTTTAATAGAAGAAGTATATTTATAGCTAAGTTTTAGCAAGCCCTTATAGTATAATTAAGGACGAAATATAAGCTTAGTATAGCTTATTACCTATAAATAAATAGATAAATAAAACGACTTAACTAAACGCTTAAATAATATTTACGATACTATATTAGCTACGAATAAAACGATTAAGTTAAATAGCTACTTTAACGGGTAAGATTATACCCCTATAGACATTAGCCCGTTAGAGGGATAAGACCCCTAGCACCCCCTCTAACTTTCTTCTAAGTATACTTAAAGGCGTTATAAAGACCTCGATTATCTAATTAAGCAGCATCCTTAATTATAGTTAATTTAAATTTTTTGTTTTTCCCCTTTAAAGTAGATACCGTTAGTTACGCGACTCTAGTAGAAACAAAGAGGCATAGAGTAAAGAAATCTCTAAGACTCGTATTTATAACCTAAAGCCTATAGAGCTATATATAGACTAAGTAATTAGATAATTGCGTAGTTAATTGCTCTGCTAATCCTTTACTACGTGCTGCGCGTGCTTTAGGTATATGCCCTCGTCCCCGTTAAAACTAGTCTCTAGGGCGTGAACTCGTTGTTCTATTCTATTTACACGGCGACGAGTAGCTTTACGAAGCCGAGAATACCTAGAGGACGACGGTACTATTTAGAAAAAATAAAATCTAGGGATTTAATAATTAAAGTAGCAACTACCTTAATAGCTAG